CATGGCACATCTACATTAAATAAAACTGGACATTTACTGACTGCTGACACATTCAGAAAGAAAGGGAGCATTTACTCTCAAGTTATGGAGCGTGTTGCGTGAGCAAGTAGTTGAGTAACTGTTGATTATGGACCTTTTTTTCCTTTCAGTCTTCTTGAAAATGATTGGCACTGTCTGCGGTTGCAGAGGGACTGCTGAACCCAGATTAGCATCTGGCTCAGTGTAATGAATTCCTCTTCTGGAAAATACAGGGGATGAAATACTGGCTCTGCTGAAGGCAACAGACTACAGCCAGAATTTTCACCATCTGTGTTTTCCAGGAGCAGGGGAGTTATTGCTCTTCCAGGCACTGCGCTGCTTTTTCAGAGATGAAGACAATGGGCCACAAATCTCAGCAATGCTTAGGCTGGGAATAGGCTGAATGGAACAAATTTGCATTAAGTAGATTTTTCATTCACATTCCTACCGTTGCTTTGGTCTTTTGATGAGGGAGAGACAAAAGGGAAGGAGAAAATAGGGCCGGGGTTGCTCCCCCCCATCCCGTGCCCCCATTGGCATTGTCCTAGCACCAAATCTGAAGTGGTACCACCTATGATTTCTATTGTATGCATGTGAGAATCACACGATTGCTCACGTGTTCTCCTGCCAGTTTTTAGAGAGCATTCCAAGTGGAAAATCATCCTCCCAAATTGAATTTATTAACCCACATTCCTGTTTGGTCAGAAATATTCTCCTTCAGCATCCTGAAATCGATCATAATATATTTGTGCTGCCTTCAAATGATTAATGTACATACAAACATGTAAAAATTATCTTTAATATCAGAACCCCAAAGTATCATTTATCATTACATTCATTCAGTAAGTGATGGAGTAATATCTCCATCCGAATGAATGCCTTGCAACATGTGTGTGAAGAATGGCTGCTCTTTTCTCATCAGAATTCTAACTAATTTTCATTATAATAGATCATCCTGCTTTGTCATGTTGATTGAAGTGACTGGGAATTAGAAATCATTCTGAGAAAAATGTATCTCTTTTTTTTTTTTTTTTTAAATTTAACTTTGAAAAGTAGTTTTAAAGGTGTTTCTAATTTAAATAGACTGAATTAGCTTTCGTGGTGTAATGCATTTGAAAACTGTGATAAATGTTGGAGAAACTCAGGCTTACAAGGAACTGGGCTGGTATGTGAGAATGGAAAAGAATAGCTCTTCAGCAGAGTATTTCTGGGAGTATGCTGCTACAAGAAGCTATGCCAGTGCTCCAGCCTCTTACTGCACTTATAAACAGGTCTCAGAGTTAATTTAATTAAGGCTTATATTTAGAACATTTTATAATACGTCATTAATGCTTTGTGGTTTGGTTAAAGCTGAAGGGTCCTCCTACACAACGGAGACTTCTAGGCAGTACAAATTGCAAATAATGATGGAATGAGAGAATTACTCTTCAGACAAAATTATGACCCAGGTTAAAACTATATATCATAAAACCATACCACGTATGATCAAATGAAGATTTTACCGGTGTTTAAAGTGACCTGGAAAATGAACTGTGAGTTCATTGCTGCTGAGTAACGAAACCATCTGAAGTAAAGCTTATTTAACCTTAATAAAGGACCTGCCCACAACAGAACAGACAGTTGCCCAAAAAGTAAGCAGTACTAATAAGGGGTTTAAAAGAACGTGTAATTGAACTTCATGTTAGAAATTGCAGGGCTTTTGTCTTCCAGTAACACTCTCATGTGTTCCATAGGTTGCTGATGTAGCAATTGTACAAGTGCTAGTTGTGCAGGGTGAGGAAATGGCAGCAGCTCTGACAAAACGAGAAGGTTCACATCTCTCTTCCAGTCTGTAAGAAAGAACTGGCTTAATTTGCAGGTCTGTTGGTAAAGATTTCTAATGAGGCGTGAATTCAGGGCTGGTACATTCTTCTTGAAGAGTAACTGATGTAGAACATGTGTCCCAAAAGGGAAGAGGTGATCCTTAGACCAATTAGTCTGATCCCAACACTGTGCCCTTTCTAGGGAGATTTTGAAGGCTAGGCTAATTAAGATGGAGGAAAATGGAAAGAAGGCTAAACTGTACAGTGACTTTTGACAGTGGTTTACATCTAGGTCTCTTGATGAAGCAATTGATGGCTTAGAGCTGCATAATATGATGGGCATGCTGGAGTACAGACTTTTGATATGCTAGCCTGTTAGATTATAAAAGGTCAAAAGAAAGGAAATTCAAATGTGGCTGTTGAATTTGATAAGAATCTGAGATGATTATGAAAATGTAATGGTTCGTATTGAGAGGGAAATTGCAGAATGGAGAGACCTCTCAGAGACAAGGCGGAGGGAAGGTAATGTTTAACATCCCCACCACATGTTTTGGTGTAAAAATGAAGAACACGTCTACGATGTTTGCAAGCGTGACAAGTTTGGAAAACCTTGCAGCTCTTGCTGAAGCCTCCATGGTCTCATAGGAAGAATGGAAGGATGCTACAGAATGAACAGTGGTGAAGCTCACGAGCACAGTGTGCAAAGCCATGCAGGTGCATAGTACATATACATACAATACACATCCTTGGTATTGAGACAGCAATTGGTCATTTTACAGAGAAAACCAGTCTGTTACTGGTTGATTATGAGATGACAGTCTGCTGAAGTGCAGAGAACTAAAGTGATCGGGAAGAGAGAACTAAATGCACTGGGAAGATATTTGCAGGAGCCTCAGAAGGAATTTTGTGGTATTAACTTGATGTCTGTGATCAAATAGTGACAACAGACATTGTGATTTGTTGTCTCTGTTGTTCTGGGGGTGGTGTGGTGGTGGACACCACTCAAAACAAAGGAGCTTCGCACTGAGTTTGAGGAGAAAGAATTTCAGTGTGAAGATGAGCAGTTCCACAGCGAGTTGCCCAAGAGGTCGTGCAGTGTCTGTCCGTGAGGATTAGCGGAATATGAGTGGAAAAATCCCTGGGTAACCCTTCTGTCCTTGTAGCTGACCCTGCTCTGACGGGATTCCTGCCTATTGCAATGATTGTGAGTCTTTAACGGGCACGAAGTTAGCATGGCTGTGGGAATGAGGAGAAGAAACCAAAGATCATAGCTGCGTTACTGAGCAGAGGGAAAGCTGAAAGAAGCCAAGGTTTTTGTTCCTCTGTAGAGGGAGGGAGTGATGGGTAAATATCAAATATCAAAGATGCAAAATAATTAATATTAAAAGAAGGTCAAGATCAAAGGACTTGAAGTTATAAATACATGAGGAGTAGAAATGAGAAACTTTCTTCTCTGAGAAGTGAAGCTGTGGGAGGAGACTCCAAAGAGTTCTCCAAGAGGGGGAAAGTGTGCAACGTTTGGAGCTGAACCTGTGTGAGGCAGCAGTTACATGCTGAAACAGAAGTGATCCAGATGCTGGAAATGCGATGTATTCGCACTCTGTGCAGATATTCTCAAATCTGTTGTATTATGTCCTCTCCTCACATCCCACCAGTTGTATGCATTTGATGTAGGTTGCTCCAAAAGTAACCTCAGATAAATCTCTTGTGTGACTGGCTTTGGTTGCAGAGCACTGGAGTCAGCACCTTTGCTCTGGTTCAGATTCATTTTTTCTATGGGAAATATAGATACTAAAGCTGCATGAAAAGTATGCATTGAAATTTGTACTTAAGTGGGTGGCAATGACAAAGAGTTTTATTGTCCAAGCAAAAAATACTATTCATTCAGGTGGGAAAATCATGAATATTGACATGAGATGTTTCTCCCACAGTGGAGGTTAGTGAACATGGACAAATGGAGGGGATAAGTGTAAGGTCTGAGCAGCAGTGTGTAACTGAAAGGTCATAGATCATAAAGTACGAAGGGAACGGAGAGAGGTCTCTTGCCTGTCCCTTTTCTTTGCCTTCACATTGAGGAACCAGGCAATATATTTTTTCTACACGTAGATGTTTTAATACCAGCTTCCCTGGTCCGTGTGGTTGTGCTTGGATGCTGTAATTCATGCGTCTCGGTCCCACTTTCCATCTCCTGCACTGAGGGCATGCAGTGCGGTGACTTGAGAGGAAAAGGCATAAAATCTGCTTGAAGCAGGGAGGGAGAAGGAAAGGTAAAATGTCAGTATTTTTGACAGGCTCTTTCTTTGGCAATATTAATCTTAAGTGTGAGGTACAGTTAAGCAAAAAACCTATTTAGGGGCTGTTGGTGCAGTCAGGCTGCTGAGGGGCTGCAGCCAGTCGTGGTGGCCCCTTCTCCTCATGCTGGCCACTGTCTTTACCAGCACAAGGGCACCTGAAGTGAAGGCTGAGCCTTTAGGAGACCTCAAGTCTTCCTTTTGAAGGTTCTGCTGGATATCCTGTGTGGGAGATTGGTGTGGGGGTGGAGGTGTTCTGTGCACAGAGCTGCTGCTGTGGCTGTGGCTTGGTCCTGGGGAGAGAATCGATCCTCAACTGTACTCACGTGTGAAGGTCAAGATTTTCTTATGAATAAATGCAATTTTACCTCATGGTGCTGTAATTAAGGCTTCTGGGAGCTGAAGTCTTCAAAGAGATATCATTTTTTCCATTGAATTTCAGTGAGATTTGGCCCTTTAAAGCCTTTAGGCTTCTTTCCATGGCCTGGTTAATTTATAAGTCATGGTGACTTGCTCACAATTGGTGAAATTGTACAAAATATTTTTTCAGCTTAGATCTTAACTAACTGCTAATTTTGATAGAAGAAGCCTAAAAATACAGCGGGAAAAGAGCAGCTCTTAAGTACTGCAGTAGGTGGTAAATTGAGATGTTGCTTGTAAACTTCATTGGAAGGCATACACGGAGTCACCTTTTCCACAGCATCATCTGTTCCTTGTTACCACATCCCAGTGCGTTTAAAATTTTTAGAGCTGGAAAGCAGCTTAATTTTTTTTCTTTTTTTTTTTTAAGAGAAATAACATTGACGAATCTTCACTTGGGCTTCAAAGCTTGGATGTCACCTTCAGTAATTTTTGTCACTTCTCTCACTTCTGTATTTCCTATTGGCAGGTCTTCCCAGGTTCACCAGCCAGCCGGAGCCGTCGTCTGTCTATAAAGGAAACAGTGCAATCCTCAACTGCGAGGTGAACGTTGACCTCGCGCCGTTTGTGAGGTGGGAGCAGGACCGGCAGCCCCTCCTCCTGGATGAGCGTGTCTTTAAGCTGCCAAGCGGGGCGCTTCTTGTTGGTAACACTACTGATACAGATGGAGGGTTCTACCGCTGCGTCATCGAAAGTGGAGGCACCCCCAAATACAGCGAGGAGGCAGAGCTCAAAATTCTTCCAGGTATTAATCTGTTTTGTGCTTGTTGTTGTGTTTTTGGTTTTTTTTTTAATAAATAAAAATTAGCCTTACCGGTAGGAAAAACAAACCTACATTACGAGAGTACTTACAGAAAGGAGCAAGTGAGAACCTTCTGTGTTACTTTTTGTATGTTTGAAGTCATAAGCTGCGTTATGGAAGCTTTTGTTTCGAATAGCTTAAAATGTTTGCAGGCACTTAAACTGCAGCTTTTTGGCCCTTGAGAATCACAGAATTGTAGAATCATAGAATGGCTTGGGTTGGAAAGGACCTCAAGGATCATGAAGCTCCAACCCATTGCTGCAGGCAGGGCCACCAACCTCTACATATAACACGTGCCCAGGGCCCCATCCAGGCTGGCCTTGAACACCTTCAGGGATGGGGCATCCACAACCTCTCTGGGCAGCTGTTCAGCACCTCACCACTTTCATAGTAAAAGAAGACTTTATAGTGCTGCTGGAAAACAGAAAAGCAAAATCAGTAATCAGTGTCTAAGCTCATTGCAGTGGTTTGGAATCACAGAATCACAGAATGGCCAGGGTTGGAAGGGACCTCAAGGATCATGAATCTCCAACCCCCTGCTACACGCAGGGCCACCAACCATCCCACCTAATGCTAGACCAGGCTGCCCAGGGCCCCATCCAATCTGGCCTCCAACACCTCCAGGGATGGACGGGGCATCCACAACCTCTCTGGGCAGCTGTTCCAGCACCTCACCACTCTCTCTGTAAAGAATTTCCCCCTGACGTCCGACCTAAATCTCCCTTCCTTCAACTTAAAACCGTTTCCCTTTGTCCTGCTGTCACTCACCCTTTCAAAGAGTTGATTCCCCTCCTCAGGAGATATTTCTGCTGTATTTCATAGCTACAGTTCCATTGTGACAGGTTACAAAACAGGGTTTGAGCCTTAGCGATGAGGATTTGTAGGTTTCTGAGGCTTCAATCCCTTCTTTAAAATACTGTTGAATTTTCCAGAAGAAATTGCTGTTTAGTCCCTTGCTCTTTGGGTGCTTAGCTGGAGCACTTTTAATGATTCCAATATTTGGGAAATTCTCATTCTTAAAATGTTAGACCCGTTTGGGAAGTTTCCAGATCCCAAAAAAAGGAAGGACCATGAATGCCATTATTTTGTTACATTTAGCTATTGTTACTTGCCTGTTGCTTTGAAGAGTTTAGTTTGTTTTTTTGTTTGGTTTGGTTTTAATAAGAACAAAAGTGCATTTCTCAAACACTCAGTGCATTCTTTTTCTAATGACAATATTGCACTATTGTGTAGAACTGTGTATTACCAGATGCTCTAATTCGGAGTTTGGAAACTTGACCAAGAATAAGATGTAAATGGGAATTGCATTTTCCCAAACTAGGGAAACATGGGTTGTGTTTTGCATGGGTTTCCTTAATAATTTCCAGAGTTTCGTGTTGTCTCTGCTGATTTAGTCTTCGTGTTGGGATTCTGATGCAATTTTTACTGGTTGAGGACTTTAAGAAAGAGTTGCTAAATTTTCCATCTTTGGAGATTTTCAGGGCTAGCCTTGGCAACAGTGTGATTCACCTGACACAGTGTTGCCAGCAGAGGACTTGGAAGCAGGTGGTTGCACTAAGCATCTTCAGCGGTCCCTTGCTATTAATATTTCTGTTTCTTACAACAGTGTAACTTTGTTTTGTTTTTGTTTTTAATTTAAAGTGCTAAAAGGTGCTTAAAAATACCCCAATTATACAATTGCAACTGTTTCCATTTTAAAGTCCAGGCATCTGCTGGGCTTAGGGAATAAATAATGTTTCAAAGAGGGACTAGTTTCATAAAGTTCTTCACTTCCTGGGGGGAAAAGGGTTTATCTTTCAACTCTTAAGATTTTTCTGACTTTTGGCAATTAAAAATTTTCTAATGAGTTTCCATATTGTGTTGATCTTTGAATTGTTGTGGCTCTAGGTATAGTTTTGTTATGTGTTATTAAGGGAGGCTGAATCTGGGTGATACAAATAATGCTGATTCCTTACTTTGTCGTGAGTCTGAAAGTGTTGATAATGAAGTTTGTGAAGCTTTCCTTTTAGTTTGTTTGATTTTTTTTTTTGTTGTTGTTTGTTTGTTTAAAGTAGGATTAAACGGCTGCACAGAAAGCTTTCTTAATCTTGAGTAGCCCTGTAATTGATTGTTAGGTTGGAGATGCATCTGGATGAAGGACTTGAATTAATCTGCTCTTCATTGCTTCATTCCATTTTGAAGTTATCTGATACTTGCCTGAAAGCCTCTCCACTGTTCTTTTAGATCTCTAAAATGTGCCCAACACACACATGCATCATATAGTTTTGCATCCATGGGCAGTGTTCTCCTTCTTCTTGTAGCAAACATTCAGTTTGCCTTTCATCTTCCACCAAGCAGGAGGACGCATTTCTGAGCTCTGATGCTTAATAGCAGGCACTTTCAAGGGTGGAGAGTGCAAGAATGATGGCAAGCAGTGTGGTGTGGTGTCAGGCCCAAGGGACCCAGGCAGGCTGAGCCCAGGGGAACCTCCCTCATGGGGTTCAACAAAGCCAAGTGCAAGGTGTGCACCTGGGTCAAGGCAATCCTCATTACCAATACAGGCTGGGGGATGAAAGGATTGAGAGCAGCCCTGCCAAAAAGGTCCTGGAGATACTGGTGGGACATGAGCCAGCACTGTGCAATCACTGAGCTGTTGGAGCGCATCCAGAGGAGGGTCACAAAAATGCTCCAAGAGATGGAACACCTCCATAAGAGGACAGGCTGAGAGCTGGGGCTGTGCAGCACGGAGAAGAGAAGGCTGTGGGGAGAGCTGAGCCTGTCAGTGCCTAAAGGGAAGCAACGGGAAAGAAGGGGACAGACTTTTTAGCAGTGTCTGTTGGGGTAGGACAAGGGGAAATGGCTTCAAGCTTAAAGAGGAGGGGAGATTTAGATTGGATATAAGGAAGAAGTTGTACAGTGAGGGTGGTGAGGCACTGGCACAAGTTGCCCAGAGATGTGGTGGATGCCCCATCCCTGGAGACATTCAGGGTCAGGCTGGACCAGGCCCTGGGCAACCCGATCTGCCTGTGTATGTCCCTGTTGATTGCAGGAGAGTCGGACTAGATGACCTTTAGTTCTCCCTTCCAACTATTCTATGATGCTAAGGAAAATAATCTTGTAATTCTTGAATTCTACTTCCTCTATCTGAAGTCTTTTTTGCCAGCTGGGAGAATAAGTAAGCTCTCTATCTCCAATGAATCATACCAGCTTCTCTTCAGAGTAATGATGGCTCGCTGGCAAGCTGTGATGTGCTTTTTTTTTTTTTTTTACCCTGCATGCACTCTTGTTCACACATGGTTTTATTTTTGGAGCAGGCAGACTAGATGCCTCTCATGGGGAATGCAGGCAAAACCACTACGATGGTTGGTGCGTGGGCCTGAGGACAGATGGCTCAATCCAGGATCACTCTGAGCGTGGGTACAAAATGGTCTGCTCACATTTAAGTGGTCAAAGCTAACTTTTTGGTTAAAGGTCGAGGGCTTTTTCGGTTTTGGAGCTTATCTAGAACCAAGCTGATGAGCACAGTACATCTAACTACTGAGAATACAGCAATTAATGCAGCATAAGCACCAGGGATTTTTTGAGCGGTAAGTAGAAGGAGATAGGGTAATTAACTGCAGAAATGTTCTATGTGGTATTTAGGAATTCATTTACTTCTAATTATGGTGCGAGACACATGCTGAAGTTACTGCAGAAGCCAGTGATGTAAACAGCATTTTTCTTCGTCCTGGGTGTTACTGAACCCCTTGATGAATTGGTTTCACATCTAGTTAAGGCTGATTTTTTTTTCCTAAAATTCCCTTTTGAGTCATGGATATGTGCAGGAAAATAGCCTTTTGTTTGGAGTAGGTTTTTTTGGTAGTATAGTTCAGAGTATATTTGCTGGTTGGTCTTTATTGGTGAATAAGTTTTCAGTACTTACAGTCAAAATGGCTTTTTCCTGTAGTAAAAGACTGAGTAAATATGCACTTTGCTTTTGCTTGCTTTTAATGGGTGTGAAGAGAGAATAAGAAAAGAAACAAATCTCGCCCAAATCAAAGCCAAAGCAAAACTCTCTCACCATTACAAAGATGGAAGATGGTGGTATATTTTGTTTTAGGATGAAGTTTATAGTACTTCAGCATGAAAATTGACTAGTTTGTCGTAGCTTTAGCTTGGGATTCTTTCTACTTCAGTAATTCTATTTTCCAGTGCCTATATCAGGTGAGCCTCAGGCAGCCACCTGGAAGGTCAGGTTGGGCATGGCCTAGTCCAAGTGCTTTCTCTAGAGCATCCTCCTGGGTTGAAAGCAGGATGAAGGCAGTCCGTGCCGATTATAGTGAGTTTGTATCATGCCATTTTAAGCACCCACAGCCTTCAGCCCCAGAGCAGGAAGTGATTTTATTGCACATAGGGCCTTACCAACTAGCCTTGCAGCTTGGGTGATTGCCAGAGCTTGGCTGGGCAAAGTCAGACCTATCTCTTTACTAAATCTTGGCTAGCTGGTGGAATTTTTGGTTTCAGGGATTCAGTATTCAGCTAAAATTGTTTCCCAAGGAGAGCCTGAGGAGTCAGAATCCCAACAGAGGTCAGTCCATTGTCCGGTGGGAAAGACAAAGAGCTTTTCATGTGGGAGGCTTGGGAGGGCAGCAAACTTTCTGTAGGTAAGAGGCTTCAGTCTTGTGAAGAGGCAGGGAAGAAATCAAACATTTCATTTGTTGCTTTTCTTTTCTTAAATTATGATTGTTTTCTGATTCTGTGTCTTATAACTTTGCTGCCATTTACAAAACCTTTTGCAGATCCAGAAGAGCCCCAGAGCCTGGTCTTCGTGAGGCAGCCATCTTCACTTACTAAAGTTACTGGGCAAAATGTGGTGTTTCCATGTGTTGCTGGAGGATTTCCAACTCCGTATGTCAGATGGACGAAAAATGGAGAAGAGCTAATCACAGAAGAGTGAGTAATGACTAATATATACACATACATATATATGTCATAGTAGGAATGTAGAAACTGAGCCAGAATTATGATTTTGTTTTAGTGCATAATTTGCTTTCTACTTAATTTTAAACCAGCAAAACAGATGCAAGTTTTCAAATGCTGAGGAGTTTCTGGGCTGAGTGCTGTGACGAAGTGTTTCATGAGACTTGTAGAACAGTGTCACGGTACTTACTTTACAGATATCTGAAAGCAAGAAATCTTATTTGAAGCAGGAAGGTTATTAAGAATAAATTACTTTTAGATTGCCATTGGAATAAGAGATGCAATTACGGGGGATGAGGACATGGCAGAAAATCCAAGGTGTCTTCATCGTGGCATATTATTTCCATGGAGATACACGTGCTCACATTACTCTTTCTGTGATGAGATGTCCACTGTGCATCTACCTTTTTTTCTTAAGAACTTACTCTTAAGTGTTAAAAGCAGAATCTCATCGTTTCACATTAAAGCAGACTATTACAGTTAGTTACTCTTTACAAGAAGAGTGTAGGCTTGCAAGATTGCATTAAGTGGAAACTACTACACATGATCACTGCTTGGTGTGTTCATTCAAAACGACGTGGACAAAAAAATATACATATTTAAAAAGCAGAACAAGTCCTACCAAGAGGTAGAAAATGACAAGAAGGGAGTTGGATGTTCTCTGTCATCCGAAGATGGTGGTGAGATTGATGTAAAAGCAAGTTAGCCATGAGGCTATGGCATGGCTACGCCAGGAAGAAGCTCAAGGAATGTACAAGTCATTATATAGCACCAGCAACAGCGATATAGATCTTTTTTTGTCAACTCTTAAATTAAAAAATGTAGAGGCTTGTAATTTGAGCAGTGTTTATCTGGAAAATGCAAGCTGCTGTGAGTAATGGCAAGTGGTTCTAATATTTCTGAGAAATTGAATCGATGTCAATCTGGTGGCACATGATTTTATTTGATTCATTTTTGTAAATATAAGAAATCATTTCCATAGAAAGGATGGTTCCCACTCATTAGAATTGCACAATTGAATGTGATGAAATGTCAGAGTAAGTATGCCTGGTAAGATCTTAATTTGTTTTTCTCCTGACATAACATCATTTTATATATATCCTTACAAATGCTTGCTGCCTGCCCCCTCCACTACCCGTCCTTCTGTAGGTTAAGGCACATTCAATGCACAAGGAAGGTGAAACTCACAAACTGAAGAGCTCTCATTTTATTTTCTTCTCACTTCTTTGACTTAGAACCCAAACATTCAAATCCCACTCTGGATACAGTGTTAATTCCCTGAGGAGCTTTTCTGTGCAGATTGTTGTGGTAACCTCGGAGGGCTTTCCCAAGTGCTTTATTTCCTTTCAAAACTTAGTGAGGAATTTTACATCTTAGGAGCAGAGATGCAACACTGGTGAATGCATTTGATGCTAAATTATGCCCAAATTGAGTTGAGCATGGCGTGACTTTTCAGAGTATTTAGTGTTTGCTTTTAGCATTGTGTCTCTTTTGTTGCAAGCGTGGTTTCCAGCTGACATTTGCTCCAGGTAAAAATCCCTCTATAAACTGTGTGCCAAGTTCTTTGTATGGGTGGTCAAAATCTTTCACAGCATCCTCCCATCTTCATATGGACGCTGTCCGGTAAGGCAGAAGCAGGAGCCACAAGAGCAGCAATTCCTCAAACACAGATTTACTAAACACTTGTCTGCTCCTGTAACACCTGAGCTGCACAAGCTCCCTGACAAGCCCCAGTCACAGACCTGCAGCATGCTCCATCAGCGAGTTCATGCATCTCACAGGGAAAGCTTCTCACTGAGCTGAGCAGCTGCAGGTGCTGGCGTGTCTCTGGAGCCTGTTGGGTGCCGCGTCCTCTGGATCTGTGCTCATTGGGCATGGAAAGACAAAGACAGATTCCTCTTTAATTTGAAGCAGGTGTTTTTCTTCTGTTCAAGATTGGACCAGAAAGGGCTAATGAAGAGTTTTGAACACTGAAAACTACAGTGGATTTAACTGATCTTACTGCAGAGCCTTTCTGGTCTTCCTGAACATGTGAGTGAGTGAAGCTGCCTTGAGTTGCTGGTGTTACGGAGTTATAAGAAGCATGTTTCCAAGTTCATTAGGAGTTTCTGCACAGCCTGATCACGGAGCCTGCTACTTGTGCTTCTGGCTCAATGGAGGAGTGATTCAAACAGCAGCCAGCAAGGGTTCTTGAACTCCATTTTCCTTGATGGCTGTCCTGTTTGTAGTTTGAACAGAGGAACTGAAAAAGCTTTAGAAATACAAATAAAGATTTCTTTTTGTTGGTAAAAGTAACTACAGTAAAGCCTGTAGTTAGACTGCAGCAAAATGGGTGCTTTAACTTGTTAGCATATTCTGTTAATTTAGTAACAAATCATATTTAATTTGTGTTAAAGCCCCTTTTATGTAAAGGAAGACTTTTCTTATAAATATGTATCTTCTTTATCCCAAGGAGAAAAAAAAAAAAAGACCTTTCTCATCTGAACAGGCTTCAAGGCACCTTCTGCCTTCCAGAAGCTCTTAAATCATCTGTTGTCTATACACACACACAGTAGAGACATAAATGTACACGTGTGCATTTACATTTATACACATGTCTGTGAAGTCAGGAAACAAAACTCAGATAGCATGGTAGGTTCCTGTTTGTTTTTTTTTTAATTTTCTTTTTTATCCCTTGGTAAATAGGTTAGGCACAACACTGTTTGGTACTTTAGTCTTTTAATGGTGGCAATTCGGGTAATACAAAACTAAGCATTTTATCACAAAGCTGTAGTTGTAAGGAAAATCTGCATAGGAACTCGTGTTCTAAGGAAAGCAGATTGTCATAAAGGATTTACAGTGCTTTTGGACTTTTGGAAGTAAAATATCCAAGACCAGAAAAAAGGAAGGTGTTTAGTTTTGATGGAGTATCTGCCAAAGACTGCAGCAAGATTTATGTTAATGGACAAATATGAATAAACTTTAATGATGGCAGTGTTGACACTCGCTCAGACAGGCAGCCTATAATGTGATGTATTGTGAAATTAGTTCACTGTGATAAAATATTTTCCAAACTAACTTGAGTGAGAAGGGAGGAAGCATTGAGTGTTAGATGAAAAGTAGATACATTTTATGCAATGCTAACAGTTTGCATTGTAAAACTAACTATGAGGAATCCTTCCAGAATGTGTTAATGGAAAGATTTTAAGGAATTTAGTGATAGTTGGGCTGCTGACCTCCTGGTAACTCATTGCTTAACCCAGAGAAGTCCACGAGAGAATGAACTGGCCAGGAGGTGGGGAAGGCTGTCTTTAGAAGCTGAAGGGACTCTAAGTGCTTTAGACCATTGTGTTGTTGCTTTTCAGTGCTTTGGAGAAGGACGATACCTCACTATACAGAGCCTTGGTCTGTTCCTTCAAGATGTATGTTAATGCATTAAGAATTTTAGACACAAAAAATGCTAGATATCAAGCTGAAAACTCCTAACGACCTGTTGTTGGGAAAGCAAACTTGAACACAGGAAGTTCCATACCAATGTGCAGAAGAACTTCTTTATGGTAAGGGTGGTGGAGCACTGGAACAGGCTGCCCAGGGGGAGGTGGTGGAGTCTCCTTCCATGGAGATATTCAAGATCCATCTGGACACCGACCTGTGTGACCTGTTGTAGGGTAGCAGGGGGTTGGACTCAATGATCTCTTGAGATCCCTTCTAACCCCTACAATTTGGTGATTCTATGAGAGCTTTCCATTGAATTGATTTACTAGCCATGCTAATAAACTTGAGTTTGAATACTTTTTGCAAAACTGCATGGTTGGAAAGAAGAAAAGGTTGAACCCCATTCTATGTAAATCTACGGTGCTGGTCCTTATAGCTCCCAAGTGGAGATTCAAAACATGGAGCAAGCCTCTAGACTCAGACCAAAGCAGACGAAATCAACCCTGCTGTGAATGTGCATGGCTATAAACTTACTGTACAGAGGGTGTTTGGTTTAGGATTGGCATTGCTAATGCACATCTGCTCTGTCATACATATGCAGTTCAGCCATTTCAATGTGGGTTCTACTTTTTTAGCTGTATTTCCTCTGTTAACTCGGAGTAATGTCTCTGCCAGAGACTGCCTTCACAGAAAGCTCTTCATTTAATTTATTTATTTTTAAACAAGTGCAATCTTCTATTTTGCCAACTTAATCTGATACCAAAGGCTGGATTGGAGGTGTTGGATGAAGTCTTAGATTTTGCCAACTCTGTGACCTTTTTGTCTAAGGGTCCTGCTGTGTCAATCTGTTGGTTAGTAAGTGCAGGAAGGATTCTGTGCCTTCATAATGCTGAGGTTGGGAAGTGAGGTTTTGCCTGCAGTGGTTACTGAGGTGATTTTCACATTCTGGGAGATGACTGCTGACCTCCAAATATTCCGATGCTTTTCTGCTTGGAAGCCTTTGCACAGTGTGTGGATTTGCTTTCTACAAGTATGTGCTCGAACAGCACATCTTATTCAACTCAGTTTATGTCTGGACGTATATATGGCACGAAATACAAATCACAAGAAATGTTTATTAAAAGAAAAAGCTACCATAAATGAGGTGGCAGATCTGAAAACAAACAATTGAAAGGACCCAGGGCAACGTTATATTTTATTAAGGCTGTTGAAGTACAGCAAATGTTAGGGCTGCTCAGCTTAGCTAAATGTTATAAGCAAACGAAGTGCCTACAGAAAGCTGTAACCTTGTTGTGTAGTTAATCATTCCTAAAGTAAGGAAATGGCAAAGCAAAGGTTGCACGTGCAGCATTAATTCCAGGCTGTTGTTCTATGTGTTACAGTCTTCAGTGGTGTGAACACATTTTTTCCTTAAGACTTTACATGAATGTGTGATTTTCTTATTTATTTTTTTAATAATTGTTTGCCAGGAGCTCCGAGTGATTTGTTCTGAGTGAATTACATTTGCTCAGCTCGGTGAAGGTTAAACATAGCAGAGTAATTATGGAGATTTTTCCGGTGGTAGATCCCACAAAATAATCTAATTCCCTGTCTAATTTTATCAGCTGTACTTCACCATGATTGCAAAGAGATTGTGAGATGTTTTGGGCACGGTATTTTATAAAGGAGAAAAAAGCCCAAACCTCAGGCTATAACTGACTGCAGTGTTTTAATAAAGCTTTTCCATATTGCATGATAATGAAATGCCGAATTCACACACGGTTCTTGTATCCAGAGCAGCTCAAGGAATTGTGTGTTGCAGAAGTGTGTAACGTCGTCTCTGAAGGCTGTATGGAGTACGTACAGAAGGCTTGGATTTCATTTTGCTCTTCCTTGATATTTGAATGATCTCTCGTTGTTTTTAGTGTCACTTCAAATTACCGCTTCTGTACGAAGCTGATTCTTTGTCTCTGGCGTCAGAAATCTGATTGCTTCAGCCTTTTGTGGAAGTGCCTCACCATCCTGCAAAATTAAGGCTTGAATATTGTTTTTACTTTATTACAAAAGCAGTTTTGCTTTAAGCCTGGAAATATTCCACCTCATAATGCATGCTAATGCATGCAAATGGAGTCATCAAGTAGTCTGACAATTTTTTCTCCCGTGTTTTTAACAGCAGTGAACCTGGATCCCATATTGGTAGACTGAACAGTCTCTTAGGTTTTCTTGATGAAAATAATCAAGTGGAATATTTTCTTTTAAAAGCGTAGCTTGTCTGAAGATGGTGAGAGCTCTATAGCCTTATTTCTTGCCAGAGGAGAGCACATGTTGAAGAAACCTTAGAAGCTTTTCCAGCAGACGTGCAGGGATGCTAATTTGGGTATTGTGCTGCTCAGCTTCCTTACGGTGCACAATCTTGGAAAACTGGTTCTCTGAAGTGGAAACTTTTTTTGGTCAAGTGCAGCACTTACGGGATCGTGCAAACAACACCTGAAGCAGGCAGTGCTGATTGAGATCTTTGAGAAAGTATTTTGTTGCCTAACGTGACAACTTGTAGTAATTTTTAATTGTTTTAGTAACATCTTAATTGCTGGTTGGTCTGTAATGGCTCACTAGAGTCAGTTGTCTCACCTTGTTGGAGGTTGGCTGTGAGGACAGTCAGCACTGCAGAGGCACTTGTCTGACCCAGCTGTGTTGTTAGGTATGCTTTTAGTGCACTGTTTTCAAAATTAAGCTCTAGTGGTATTTTCTGTTCACCTTAATGGTGATTGGAAAGCCCAGCTGTGTTCCTGGGCTCTTGATGTCCAGGTGCAGACAAAGCTTCAAGAAGTGGGGAGAACATCATTTTCTTAAACTGCGGGTGAACAGATTTGCCTTGCAGTCATTGCAGGCCGAGGCTCCTGGGTTCAGTTTCATTGCATGTGCAAATTGCAGGAGCTCGGTGTGGTTTGATTCTAATGAATGTTACCTGGGCAGATTCAATAAACAAAGGCAGTGATAGAAGGGAGAGAGGGAAGGTGTTACCAGCCTGACAGCTTCTGTGCACAGCTCCTTTGTACAGATTTTTCTTGCTCAAGGTAGTTAAGGAGGATCTTTTTGTTGTCTTCAATTACCTCTAAAGCACTTATTTTTCCTGCGCACCAATCCCTCCTTTGGCCCACAATAAGCAGCTTCTGCCTCTTTCTGGCTGCAGCAACAAGAACATATGGATCTAAATGGACACTATCTCCTTCCTTTCTGTCCTTGAGCAGTTCCAAAACTAGTTTCATGACAGCATTCCTGCTGTTTTCCTCATAGCACGGACCTGTTGGCAGTGCCATCCACGTGTTCTTCAGACATTCCTCTTCTAAGCTCCTGATACGTTTTTTTGAACTCAAATTCCCTAAAATTCTTGAAGAACAAACTTCCTGAAGTCCTTTTAAACACTTGGCCCATCTCCTCATGTTCTTAGGTGGTGGAAACGGCATCCCTTGCCTTTTGGTGTGCCCAAATAGGAAGTCTTGCTGGGCACTTTGGAGGCTCTTAAGGAAGAGTGAAGGAACACTTAATTCCAATAAGGATTTTGTTTTCTTTGGTTTTAAAATTTAGTGAATCAGGACTTGGATCAACAAATTAATGTCTTAAATCAGTATTAGAGTGACTCGAAAGCTTTTGTGTCCTGATAATTTAGCTTACTGAATGGATGAGAGCGTTGGTTCTAGTAAGATAACTGTAGCATAACATTTGGAGCCAAGGAAGCAGTTGAGTTGATATTTGTGCATTGGTTGCTCTACAGAGACCAAAAAAGTCAACTGTGGCAATGTGCTATGCAGTGAATATCCTCAGATAACTCCATCCCCTCACATTGACAAAAAAATTGTTTTCCAGTGCTGGAGAGGAAACCATTAGATAGACTTTCTCTCTTTGTTTTCAGCTGCAAATAAGAATGATTTTGGGTGAGGATCCAGTCACGATGTGTTGTCTCATCTCCGCTTTCTAACAGTGTTTTATTGAAGAGTGATGAAGGATTTTGGGAATGGTCTTGCATAAATTCAGATCACAGAAAGGGAAGCACATGGTTGTAGTGGGAGATTAACGTGGCTGAAGGCTGCAGGAGAAGCAGGTGGTTTGTGAGGGCTGGGCTACATGCTTTGTTCTGCATCCTTTATGAGCCACGCAGGGATAGATTCTGTATTGGAACTTGGTCAGCTTGTTGGATGTCATAATTTTTTTTAAACTTGTATCTTATTCTGAATTCTTCCCAATCCCCAAGATGAGTACTGCTGTACAAAACCTCAGTTGCTGTATGCTGTACAGTATGCGTTTCGGTTCCTTGTGTCATGCAGGTGTAAGTCTGGCACGCTGCAGCTGATTTAGCTTTCCAAGCAGTAAGTCATTACGTCTACAAAGCATTTTTTATGATGTGATTGTTACTTTCACTTCTCTTAAATTCTCCTGTAATCCTGGAATGGATGTAGTTGAACTTGGTTTAAAATCTGATACCGTAGCATGGAGTGCAACCATGCAGTTAAATCTCATCTCTCTGAGAACGCTGTGTGTAAATGGCACCCCGAAACGTTATGTCTCCTCAGCCATTTCAGACAGAGGACTTGTATGTGCTTCTCTGTGAACGCTCCATGTCAATCCATTTGCCCATCAGTTTCCCACTCTTGTCTTGTTCTGCACAGCTCCGAGAGGTTTGCGCTGCGTGCGGGGGGCAGCCTGCTCATCACTGATGTTACAGAAGAGGATGTGGGGACCTACACCTGCATAGCAGAGAACGAGAACGAGACGATTGAAGCTCAGGCAGAGCTTGCAGTACAAGGTAGGAAAAATGGTTAATTTTCAGGGAGTGGATCTCCCGACTATTGTTCCTAAGAGCTTTATTTTTTATTTTTATTTTCTATCATTTCATAAAAGTTCAAATGAGGGGTTTGCTTATGTTACATACATCTTGTATGGTTAAAAGCTGCTGTATGTTCATGCAATATGAAGTGTGCTCGATGTGATATGCTGTAATAAAGAGGGAAAATGTCACCGTGTGCAGCTAGTCTTGTCTGAAAGTCTGCCTGTAAAACTATTTGGGTTCTTCTACAAAAGGACATATAGAAAGTATTTTTTAAATTCTAAATATCCTGCTGCTTTCAAGAAACTTGACAGAAGGTAATAGCAGAGATAATTATTTTGTAAGTCCTGGTTTTATTTTGTGTGTGTAATTGTCTTGCTTACTGATGAAAGCTGCTTTAAACAGAAGTGGCGGTGAATTTTTGATAATGCTGATTTAAAAACCTTTCATGTCACATGTGCAAATAAGATTTTTTTCTTAATTGGAGCTTTATCTTGATTTTAGATATTTCAGCTACCATTTAGTTGTCACCTTGGTGATGGTATCCTTGTAAGAGCTCAGTTGACTTGTTTTTAAGACAAACTTGCTTGGGCCATAATCCCTTGTAAAACAAGTTTGAAGGGATTAGAGATATAAAAATAATTATGGAACAACGTCTAAGGAAGGCTTATCTATAGATAAAACCTTTATGGCAGAAATAAGATGTATTTTAGATTCTAATGGTGTGAAATGTAATGCAAAGGCATGCTATTAGCAGAGTTCCTACTCCGCTCTCAACAATGCATCAAAGCTTAAGAAATTTTACCAGTTGAGGTATATTTACTGATTTTTTTGCATGCTTTACCTGGTGTCCAAGAAGAGAGCTGTGTTTCTGATGTAGAACTGAGGAAGATTAGACTGGGAGACAAAAAGTGTGTATATGAAGAAGCGAAAGCAAGCTTTCAGAAGAAGTTGGCCATTGCTGAGCAGATGAAGTCCTTCTTAGGAGGGCAGAGTATAACATAAGGCTTTCATTGGTATCTGCAGCATGCTTACATTATCCTGTATTTCATGCTGTCCAGTTCTGTGCAAATCAAAACGTGACCAAGGTGCTGCACTTGCTAATGAGCATAGCGGAGGCAGCACTCTCCTGAGCACACATTGTGCTCTCTCTGCATTCTTACCCCAGTTCCCTTTAACTTTAGCTTCACCTTGTGTTTTTCTGCTGACTGCTTTGGGGACTGGCTTCCTGAGCATCTCTTCAGCCTTACATAGGCATTTTATTTAGCTCCGCCCTTTGCTAAAACTTGGGGAAGACCATTTGGTGAGGGCTGTCAAAGTGCAGCATTGCCCTAATTTGACTTCAGGAGTTTTAAAAGCCAGCAAACTCAGGTCGTGCAGCAAACACCATTTTTGTTATCTTAGTTTTTGGGCTGGAAGAATGCAGATAGGCACTGTGTCTTAAATACTCAAGGGCTTGATGATTCATTGCACTTTATGGTAGTTTAATGCAACTGGTAGTGTGCTGTTTAATTCAGTTCCAAATTATCTGTTTTATGGCATTGGCATGAGGCTTTCAGTTTTATGGGCAGTGGCAGAAATTAATATTATTAATGGTATGATACAATTAAGCAAAGAAAATCAAAGATAACGCTGAGATTATAGTCTTAATGTAGACTATGCAGCCAGGTCACTTGGGGATGAAAGTGGTCTTGAGATCACTCTTAGCTACTTAGCTAAACTAATGTGATTTCTTTTTTCCACTGCAACAATTTAGAATATGTTCTGCCAATTCTTTTATGCTGATTTTTTTCTTGTACATCTGGCACAAAAAAAAAAAATCTTTTAATGCCTCAGAATTAAAATATATTGAAGATTATATAGAATGCATTTTGGAAGTTGGATTTCTGGTTTTATTTCTTAGTTCTAATCTCACTTAATTCCACTTTCCTTGGAGAGGTCACTGGAGTGTAATTGTATTTCTCCATTACTATAATTTGCTGAAGGATTTGAGTAACTGTTACCTGATCGTTGTATCATTTTCTTCTAAAATGGAAAAATCGTCTTCTACCACCTACTAACGACATGATTTTGCTTAATTTAGGCTTATTCTGTCACTCTTAGGGATAAGGCTGACAGGAATTCATACAGGAAATCCAGGCTTTTGGAATTTGATCCTTTTCTCATCTATTTTTCTGCATCTTTTGAAGCATGTGGCTTGTTTTTTGGGGAGATTTCATAAGCATACTAGTATTACTTTGCTACTGCTGTCAGTCTTTTCTTTTTTTCCTCTTAATATTTCACAATGGCAATTCTGTGAGTCATTTGAGAATCTCTATGTAAGTGTGGCATCATTTGACAGCATTAGGACAGCTGGAGTGAACTGGCATTCCCTTTGGTAACTCTCAACTGAGGTTAGAAACTGCCCATTTTATCTAGAAGCAAGCCTGAATTGTGCGTGAGTAAAGAGTACTCATTAATTATTGCTTTGTTCCAAGACCAAATTTTCTCCTATCCCTTAATAAGGATACAAAGCCCTGGGAGGTCACATGCTTAATTCCATGATGCAACCTCAGCAGCAGCAAGCTGCCATGCATCTCTGCTGTCAACTGCTGCCATGCATCCTTGTTCTTCCTAGGCTGTCAGGACACAGTCACTGCCCTTTGTTGTTTTTGGGTAGGGTACCTTGATGCATCTCACATGTAAGTGCATGGTGTGCTCAACTAGAAAGAAATAGGTAAATTCAGCTGTACTTCTTGTGTTCCTGCACAAGGTAGATGAGAGTTAATTGAAGGCAGCTTATTTATAACTGCATAAAAATATATCAAGTGATCAGCCCTCCAAGATAATGTCTTTCTGTTAAAGTTGGCACCGTTTTGAATTCAGCTAAATGTTACCTTCGTGTGGCAAAACTTAGTCAGTTCACGTTGCTGACACTGAAGGATGCCATCTGTTTCACATCCTTGGAGGTAGTCTTTTGAACAGGCTATTCTGTGTAATTTAGAGGGAAAAAAAAAAAAAAAAGGTGTTAGAGAGTCTCATGTTGCCCAGATACTTGGTATTAAAAAATTGGTTTAGGTCCTCAATGTATATTGCAGGACTAATTCTGGAAAAATCTGGCTTTGACTGGGAAGGATTACACCAATTAATTGGAAGGGTCTTAAGGGTCGAGGAGTGTGCTCTAAGGATTTGTTTTCTCTGTCCTTTTATCTACAAAATGTATCTGGGAGCTGGAGTTAGGAGCTCAGAACACTAAAACCCAAAGCATGTCCTGGAACATGACGGGTTTTGGTCTAAGTTCTATTAACTGCATGGAATGAATTCAGTCCATACTGCTGTGTGACACAAGCTCTTCCCCAACAAAGCTGGGCTCTGTCTCTACTTCCCTCCTACCCAAGACCTTTCAGTCATCTGCAGGCTCACTGCCTTTCGTGAGCCCTAGGGCACCTCTGTTAACTTACACAGACGTCTCTGAGTGCTTTGAGTTGATTAGTTCATTTTGACTGAAGTGGATTAGGGAGCACTTGGCTGTGGAGCTCAGCGGTGGATCAGATAGGTGATCTTCAGGTGTTTCACTTGCAAAGAGGAAGATGCACCTCGAAGCAAACTCACGATGCTGCCCTACTCCAAATGGCTACAGAAAGTAGGTTTGTGATTACATGTATGCAAGTCGAGGTTTCACATCGTGCGCCACGCTGTAGGCTTCATGTTCAAGGGGTGCTTTGAAGCTGGAAGAAAACATTAAATGTCCTGAGGGTGATCCGTGGCTGAGATGATCCTAACTCCTCAAGTTTAGCATTGCTGAATCCCATCCGTGTTTGAGATGCTCGCTAGGGCAAAACGTGCACAGGTAAGATGTGTGTGCACTCTGTTCTTGCTCATTTTACTTAATCTTTGGTGCAAAATGTCTTGGGCCCAGTACCTTGCAGATACCATTGCCAGGTGAGGTTGTTTCCCATTCAGGAGGCAGTGACTCAGTGTCTGAAAGCCTTTGGTACCCAGTCGTGTTTCTGTTCTGACAGTGCTCTTCCCTTTCCTGTCAGCAGAGGCACTGGGACCCGATTTATTTATGACACATGAGTTGAGAGCGGTGGAAAAATGTGTTTTGTGCTCACCAGTAATGAAAGAATCTGTAGTATTTCCCTTAGATAAGGGTGGGAAGTGTTGAAAGAGAAGCTGGGGAAACAAGCACTGAATGTATTGAAATGCAGTCAGCTGGCTTCTGTTCTGCCTGAAACCTGCGGCCTGCAGAGCCGTGGCTGTAAATACTGAGAAGGTTAGAAGTTCATTCTTCATCTGGGAAATATTTCACATTTATTACAGTGTCCAGAGCCCCTGGGATTTCTGCACATAGTGTGGCGTGGGTTAGATCACTGTGTGAGCTTCCTGCCGCCCGTCTTGGTGCTTGTGTTGTAGGTAATGAGCTCAGAGGGAGTTCTCTCTTTGTGCTGAAATATTTACTGCTGCTAATACAGAACCACAAAATAATAAAACAACAACAAAAAAGATTCCATTTTCATTTTTTTTCCTTAGAAAATTGATATGGCAGGGATGAGGTCTTCAAAATAAACAGCTTTGTACTTCCCACTTGTGTGAGGTTTAGAATTGCTCTTTTTTTTATATCTGTACTGTTACCTTTCGGTGATGTTTGGAGCTGCAGAAAGCTGGCTCCTGGGTGCTCTAGGGCAGCATGCAGAGTCTGATAACGCATCTTAATTACCGTAAATTAAACGCCTCACTGTGTCGATGTACCCAAATTAAAGATTACAGTGAGTAGTTATTTTAGGTGTTTTTAATGGTACGTTGGAAGTTGCACGTGGCAGCAGTCTCATCACCACCTCAGATGTTCTCCCGGAGCAACTAAATGGGGGAAAATAGCAAATACAGAAGGATTTTGATAAATTTTGTGCTTTGAAAGGAAATGCTTGAAATATTTTCAGAGCAGCTTCAAAGCTTTATGCTAATGAAGGATCCTTACTCTAGCCAAAAAACCCACATAC